GGTCAGCATAAGACTCTTTAAAGCCATAAGTGGTAAGAGTTGTGGTGAAAGCACAGTTCCACTGCCGAGAAGCTTGCTTCAAACCGTATAATGACTTGCGCAACCGACAAACCTTGTGAGAAGCTGCTTTCTGGTAACCAGGGGGTGGCAACATATATACCTCTTCATCTAGGTGTCCATGTAAAAAAGCGTTATTGACATCCAGCTGATACACATTCCAACCCTTGTTAACATCTAGGACCATCAAAATCCTTACAATGACTGTCTTGGCTAGGGGGGAAAAAACCTCGAAGTAATCTTCCCCTTCGATCTGATTGTACCCTTGCGCTACAAGCCGTGCCTTATATCTGTCTACAGAGCCATCGGCTTTACACTTGACTTTGTAGACCCATTTACACCCGATAGCTTGTTTACCAGCTGGTAAGGAAGTCAAAGTCCAGGTCTGATTGTCCTCCAGAGCACAAAACTCCTCGTTCATGGCCTTAATCCAATGAGGATCATCCTTGGCTTTAGTAAGAGTCTATGGTTCACTAATAGTGGATATATTTGCAACAAAATGTAGATGTTCAAAAGAAATAATGCATGACTCTTTGGAAAGAACGGTTTGATCAGTACACTGATTGACTAAAACAAAATCTTGCAGATATGTAGGAAGTTTTGTGGATCTACTGCTCCTACATAGCACAGGAGAAGAATTAGGGTTAGATTGTATCAATGGAGAAGAGGCTGAAGGGTTAGAAGAGGAAATGGAAGAATCTGTTGTATGTAAAGAAGGAGAAGACAATGAAGGAGAAGAACGTAACAAAGAACGATCAACTGTGGGAGAAATATTTGATAAGATATCTCTGGAGGGGACATAATCAACATCATGAGAAGCTGGTTTTGGCAGAACAGACAGTGAATCAGGTTCAGAATAAACATGTTTAGAAGGGAACATAGTTTCATGGAATTGAATATGCCTAGAAATCACAATCTTTTTAAGCTCATGACAATAGACTTTATATCCCTTTTGCCCTGTGGAATAACTGACAAACACCCCTTTAAAAGACCTATGATCAAACTTATCCTTATCAGGCCGGGAATTCAGAACAAATGCTAAACAACCAAATACCCGTAGATGATCTAAAAGAGGTGGTTTTCCATGCAAAATTTCATAAGGGCTTTTCCACTCAAGTAACTGAGAAGGTGTTCTGCTAATAAGATATGTCGCCGTAAGAATTGATTCCCCCCAAAAAGTCTTTGGCAAACCAGATCTAATCAACAAGGACCAAGCAACTTGGAGTAGATGTTTCTGTTTTCGTTCTACTACCCCATTTTGCTGAGGAGTGTAAGGGCATGATTTTTGGTGTATAATTCCCAGATTTGAGAGTATGGCTTGTGTTTGTGAGCTAAGGAATTCTGTGCCATTGTCAGTCCTAAGGATCTTGACTCGGCAATCATATTGTGTTTGTGCCATATGGAAAAAATGTTTAAGTGTTTCTGGCACCTGGGACTTGTGTTTCAAAAGAAAAGTCCAGGTGGTTCGACTAAAATCGTCAACTAAGGTGAGGAAGAATTGAGCATTTGTGAGAGACAAAACCCTATAAGGCCCCCAGACATCAGCATGCAACATCTCAAAAACAGAATTAGAATGAGTAGAACTAACTGGACAAGGCAACTTTCGTTGCTTAGCTAAAGGACATGTATTGCAGAATGATACATTTTTATTTATCTCAGAAATATCACAAATAGAAAGATGTTGCAAAACTACATCAGATGGATGTCCTAACCTATCATGCCATGTTGACATAGCAACATTTGCCTTGGCATTTTTATCATAAGTCTGTACATTTAATGAAACTCTAGAAAGTACATATCAATCTGGAGTATAAGACGTGTGTTTGCTGAATAGCTTCTTGGGTAAAGGAGTATGAATTAACTACGTAGAGTCCATTGGTGACCATGCCTGCTCCGAGAACTTCATTAGTCCTGAGGTCCTGTAGCAGACAAAACTCATCAAAGAACTTTACATAAACTCCGGAGGTTTGTGCTAATTTCCTAACTGATAGTAAGTTGTGTTTAAAGGATGGGATATGAAGAACTGATGGCAAGGTCAATCTGGGTGATAATTCTACTTCTCCTATATGATGTACTTGTCTAACAGTTCCATCAGGCAAATATACAGGAGTATAAGCAGTTGTTAAACGAGCATGCAACAAAAAAGATATAGAACAACACATATGCGCAGTAGCTCCACTATCAGTTATCCAAGACAAATTACTAATGTCACATTCGGATGAAGTAAGTTTATGCAGAATGTTGGTACCTGCAAAGTCATGCAAATGTGCATAATTGACTGCATGCGACCCTGACATCTCCATTGGAGTTTTTTCTTTCATCATCTTCCCTAGTTCAGCTTGAACCAGATGTGCTATCACTAACTGCCATCCTTCCTCATTCTTAGTGTCTTGTGAGCCTTGAATTCCTGACATCTCAAGTGGTGTGTCTGCTAGATGAACTTGCTGGTAGGGACTCTGCTTGATCAACCCACCTTGCCATCTCTATGTAGGTGGATGAGTTCCCTGAATAGTGTGATTATCCTTTCCAGAAACATTCCTGTATTTTGCTTCATACCAATCTGGAAATCCTTTCAGCTAGAAACAGTCATCTTTGAGATGACCATTCCTCTTGCAGTGGGTGTAGAACAGCTTCATTTTTTCCTTCTTTGCAGCTGCTTTAACTTCTCTCCAATCCTTTTGATCACTATCTCTTTTCCATATTGCAGGCTTGGCTAGCATGGCCACATTTTCTGGTTGAACTGCAACAACATTACTTAGTTGTCTCTGACTTTCCTCATTCAACAGTTTGGCATATATCTCATCGAGGCTTGGAAGTGGGTATGTACGCAGAATCTCACTCCTGACTGACTCATATCCATCATTCAATCCCATCAGCATTCGATACACTTTATCTTCAGTCTCTCTTTCATGCAGTTTCCTCATTGCCTCAGGTTCACAAACAATAGGTGGCCTCCACTGACTGTATTCATCCCACATCTTATTCAACTTATTGTATTCAACCATGTTCATGCTACCCTGATTAACTAAACTCATTTCTCGTCTCAATTGATATATTGTCGTTTCATTAATCTTCCCATATCTTGCCACGACAGTTTCCCACAATTGCTCAGTTGGTATAAATGCAAAGCTGCTAGCTGGATTCAATGGAATTCAGTATCCATGACCTAACCATACTATCTACCCTCCTCTATCTCAAATAATTAGTTGAATTAACAGCAAGCATAGGGCATGAACTGTCAATAAATCCAAGTTTCATCTTAGCTTCTAGTGCCGTTATCACGGACATTTTCCACATAAGAAAATTCATTTTAGTAAGAGGATTGGTTACCAGAACCATACCCGGAGTATGGGATCCGTGTAGATTGAGTTGCTCCTCCACAAACCACTCCATATCTTTGTCAATCGGACTTCGAGAAAATCCACGCTCAGTCCTTCAAGTATATCTATCATTTCTTCCTCTGCGACGGCCGCCATGAATGTATCTTTGTTCTTCTTCTCGTTCTTCATGAACGCAACTGCTTTCCTCATCTTCGTGTTCCATACTTGAATTCGAAGGTGAGGTTTTGTTCCGATAATCGAATCTTGAGGATTTCTCAGATCAGTAATCAGGCAGGATCAATGCTGCTCTGATACCAACACCGGAAAGAACATCGAAAATTAGGGCAGCGGTTGTAACCGTCAAAGAAAGAGGGAGAGAAAAGCGATGTTTCTGGAATTTTTTGTCATTAATTGTAAAACATCCATCAGTATTTATCCTAACCACTATTTATAGATATATGCACACGGCTGACTTTTATTGACCTATATATATACATGTATGTCCATGTATTACCTAATATATACAAAACAGCCCAACTGTTGCAAAACTGTACAATACTACAAATCAAAAGTATTGAATCTCTTTATGCACAAGTGGATTTAAGTCCTCTTTCGGATCTTCTCTGTTGTTCATCAATGTTCCTCCACCAATCTTGAAATCGTGATTAGCACATAATGCAATAAGAGTGGCTTGCCCACATATTGTAATAATATGAAACCTAGCCTATTTTTGCATCCTCTTTTGTACCAAAAAAAATACTTAATCTTACATGCATTATCTTTTTTATTCAGTTCACAAAAAAAGAATGTACTATAGAACCTTAAAATAAGGGCAAAAGATCCTTTAGACCATTTTTTGGGTTACACTTCTTTTAAAACTTATAAAATTTTGACACATGAAGCACTTCAAGAGATTCATCTAAATTCTAATTGCGGTTTTGGGTGCATTTAATGTTTAAGAACTTAAATAATATTAAAAATGACACGTGTGAAACTTTTTTAAGGTAGCATTACATCTAATAATACCAAAAGCGGTATGTATAGGAGAGATTCTTGCTGAATGACCATCATCCATATTTCCCTTTAGCGTGGTGATAGTATTTTAATTTATGGTACACTTTAATGATAATAACGTGGAGACATTAGTATCATTATTAATACAACATTAATGTAGAGAGATTTACTCTTCTATCCGGGTTTTAAGAAATTGGGCGCAAGAAATGAATTCCAGATTTCGTGAATCTAGATTAATTACCAGTAAAGTTTTTATGAAATCAAATAATAATATCTGACTAATTCAGAAAATGGAATGGAATTTCACAATGTATATAGACTATACCCCCATAATAATTAATGAGATAGTAATACATATATCCCCAAACATAAGGATAAAATTTAATCAGATAATTAATTATTCCTTACCCTTAAAAAGTGTTTAAGAAAGGATAAGAAAATATTATTATTAGATTATATATAATCTATCAGACAAATTTCCTACCCTTGAATTATTTAGCTGATCTCATTTTGAATTAATATATTTTTTTTATAGCAAATTAATATTTTCATTTTTTTTCTTAACTTTATATATAGGGAGGAGGAGACCACAACCTCATTGTATTATCCACATTAATTCAGTGAGACAGATTAAAAAAAATGGCTTTCTCTTCCAACAATGTCACTAACACAATCCTAGCCATTTTTCTTTCTTGTTTGATTATGAATCTGATGAACATCAATTCAGCCAAATCTTTCTTTGCAAAAGCAGACTTAGTAGATGACGTTTGTTCCCAAACCGTCATCGACCCCAACTATTGCAAAACAGCGTTACGGTCCGATCCTCGTACTTCCAAAGCAAACCTTCCAACGTTGGCACAAGTTGCAATAGATTTGGCACGATCCAATACCAAATCGACCATAACTTTGGTAAAATCCATTGAGAAGAAAGTAACAGATCGTAGACTAAAAGGGATATACGATACGTGTTTGGAGAACTATTCGGACACAAGTGACAATCTTGATGGTTGTGTTACGGCATTGAAGGCGAAAGATTATCCCACGCTCAATATCCGGGCATCTGCTGCACTTGATGGGCCGAGTACCTGTGATGAAGGCTTTACCGAGGCTAAATTGTCCGAACCTGGACAACTTAAGACATCAAGTAGGCATGTTCAAGAGTTAAGTTCGGTTATCTGTAATATTGCCAATAGGTTATCAGCTGGCAGAATATGATAAGAATGAGTTTAACTCAGTACTATTATTTAATCCTTAACATCAATTTTGGGTTCTTAATGTTATTCATTATATTTACTCTTACAATAAACATTATTGTGTAATTCTATTGAAAAATATTCGGATTTATATATAGTACTGCATGTATTAGCTAGAGAAAGAACATTTTCTCAAGAAAACGTTTTGTTTTCTTTTATTTTCCCCGTTGGTCAAAGCAAAGGTAACAAATGTATATCGTATGTTGTTGATCTGAGCCAAAAATATGGCTTTCTTACGGAAAAAAGAAGACAAAATAAAGAAAATTCGTAAATCTGATCATCTCTTCCGTCTCGCGCTGCTCCGAGGGACCGTAAGGTGTGATAAGTTGGGTAGGTTCTTGTTATATTATCCGGAAATACGTATTAGTTACTGTATGACTTTTCTGTGTGTAACGTTTTTCTACAAGTGAAAACTTCATCAATTGTGGTAGTAGCTGCATTGTTCTATTGGCAATATGGTGTTGGAATTAGTTTTTTTGTCGTCTGAGTTATTTCAATGGAATGAAGAATTTTTTTGTTGTTGATGTTTTTTTTTTTTTTTTTTTTTGTTTTGCTAAACAAAGGATTCAGCATCACAGTTGATGAAACCATTTCACAAATTTTTTTTTATTTTTATTTTTTTGAAAGCCATTTCTCAAACTTATTATCTCTAGTATCAAAAGGCGGGCAAAAGAGGTTTGCGAGTTGCTATATATCTAGTCATGGAAGATTTAGTATTGATCAGGATAGTTCGAACAAATCAAGAGTTTTTTTTTTCATATTCATCTTGGTTGAAGTAATAATCATAAACCAAACGAAAAATTTGTCTTGGTTGAAGTAATGATCATACAATTTAAAAAGGTTACAGTAATGCTAACAGTGAGTATGTTGTGATTTTTACGGCGCCGTTAGGTTCTATTCTCAAGATTGTGCTTTTGCCTTACTGTTCGTAGGAATATTGTACTAGTTTTTAGGGTTGTCAACCTGTTGTTTTAGATCAGAACCTGACATTGAGAAAACCAAAGAAAAATGGTTCTGTGCTCGTTTGGAGACTGCTTAGAGAAATGCTGTGTAGGTTGACTCTTGAAACCGATGAAGTGATTTGTGTCGGGGAAAGTTCTTGATCCTTGATATTGTTCTATAGAGATCAATAAAAATTGGTTAGAATGTTTTTTTTTTCAGTTAAATAGTACTTGAATCAATCAGTTTCAAGGGAAATACTATTATGCTAGAGTGGAAATTAAGATTATTTTAAGTTTGAAAAGGATCTGAATTGCATAATAACTATAGTAAAATTTGGTTGTCAGAGAGATTTATATCAAATGGAAATTTGGTTGATCATAGTAAGGTATGTGTTAACTATCAAATGATATATGCCATTGATGGTCCAAATAACAGTGTAAAAATTTCTCTGGAGTCCCAAAAAATGTCAACTGGATAAGCTTCAACCACAAACCTTGTTTACGTTCGTTTCCTCCAAAAGTATCATGGCTTCAGCTCAGTATACATGTGATTGATTCTCTCTTTCTGGCCTTTCTTCTGAAAACAGAAAGCCATGGCCGCCGAAAATCCTTGCACCAAGTAAAAGTAAACAACTTGTGTTAAACTGCATTTTTAGGCCCGTGAACAGGCATGATAACGCTCTGCCGGTCTGCCCTGACTTAGTGACTCCAGCTGAATCATCTGCCTCTCCCAGAAGCAAAACAAGCTGGAATTGCCCTTTCTTTGGTCTACCCTGGCTTGTGGATTTTACTTCTTCTCTTGTAGCATTTTTTTTTCCCCAACAGTGTTCGTTGGTAATAATAACGATATAGTACTACTTTAATACTCCCTTCTCTCAAAAATGATTGTCCGGTTTACAATTTTGTCTTGTGTACTTCTGTGAATCTTTTGTGAGAGAGTGAAATAAATAAAAACGTAGAATCAAATGGCTGCACTGTTGTATTTGTGTCATCAGCAACGTGCGTTTCATGTCTGTTTACAGGACTAACATTGCACATCATGAGATCAATGGAGGTTGATTAGGTGCTGCTTCATGGCCTTCTGGTGTTGGTAAAAGGGTCAGAGTTAGAAACGTAGTAAACATGTAAAGTTGAGCTGAAGCCATGGTACTTTGAAGGAAACAAGGGTCAAAGAGGTTTGTGGTTGAAGGTTTGGGTTCTCAAAGCTGCAAAGTTTAATGGTGAGATGGAACCAAGCTCTGAGTAAATTTTGGTATCAAGAAAAGAGCACATTAAGTTCGATGAAGCGAAAGGAAAATTCCATGAGATTTCAATTGGGCGCAAAAGCAAGTGCAATGTCAGTGGACATCTCAGCAGTGGGGGGATCTACCAATAATCGGATCGATCCATAAATGGACAATCATTTTTCAGATATGCATTGCTCATTTTTCAAACTTACAATGTTACAATGATGTTCTTCATCAGTTTTAGCATCATCTTCTCCACTGTTATCATTTTCTTTGGCGCTGACGCTATTATATATCACCCTAGATAGGTAGTTCTGGCTCATTTCGAGGAATTCAATTCGACTAGTCCATCAGAATTTTGCCCTATTTTACTGAAAGATGGAATGATAATGAAGCTCCAAATTTTTTTTTATTATTTACTTATTTATTTTAATCCATTTCGACACAAAGATAGCTTACATCATCATCCAAACCAATACTGCTGTTGGAAAAATTTGAGACGAGGCTAAAAATGCAGGGTGCATTTGGGTTTTGGTATGTGTTGATCAGGATGAAGATTGGATTGAGAAAGAGTAGACAGAGCACATCGCATGGGAAGACACAACATAAACAAACATACATAAAGATGCCAAAAAGAATCGTGTTTACTGTACTGTTTTGGTTCCACAAACAGGACCCATTTTTGGAAGGAAGGAGTGTAAAGGTTGGTAGATTTGTTAGACTTGAAAGGTTCTTAAAGTAAGGTTGCTAGATAATTTACTCATACATCTTATCCTTTTCTTCTATTTTTTGTTAAGCAAAAGCATCAATTAGCAATTAGTATGGATCTGCCTCAGTTGGCCACTTTATCAGAAAGAACTAAAATGTATCTCATTGACTAAATGGATAACAGAATATGACTGCAGCAAACATCAGATATTCCCTCTGTTTCGAAATGATTGTCCAATCTATTGTACCTGACAACAAACACGACACATACAACATACACGACAATCATTTTGGATGAAGGGAGTAAAAGCTTTTCAGTCAACCTCTAATCAGAAACATATGAATTCAGCACTACGTACAATCAATCCATTATCAGGGAAGCTGAAACAATCTAGTTTCTCACCAATGTAGACTACATCATAGAAGTTTGAGGTCTTTGCTCTATTGCCTCATGTACGTTGTAGAAACCTTGTCATCAATGAACAATGAAGTTCTAGAGGCTACCTATTTTTAGAGCCTGAGTTAATCAATAAATTTCTCACCAGGCTTACAGAAAATCAACAGAATAATGAAGGTAACCGCCAAAATTGTAATCCAAAAGTAAATTTATCTCTTCTGTTTTCATTTGGATCCGAAACCAAACCATTTTGCCAAAAAGAAACCATTCTTTCCACGGCTGGCATCCGCAGCTGCTTTAGCTGGTGTAGGAGGTTTTGCAGGTGGTGGTGTAGGTTTACCTGCAAGCGAACACTTGGTGGTAAACAGCTGACTAATTTCACTCCAAAAATCATAGGAATGCATATATTTGATACGATTTAGCAAAAAAAAAAAAAATTACCATTTGAACATAATGAGAATGAAAACTGCAATGTTGTTTGACAAAAAATGGAAAAGAAAGAAATCAATTTAGAAGAGGAACACTTCAAGTCGAAATGAGAGAAGACAGAAATGTATTGCTTGCTTGGAGGCATCATTTAGGTTATTTGCTTCAAGGAGAATAATTTTCTATCGGGAGCTTAATTTGCGAACTACCATAAATATTTCTTGCTGTAACTAACTTTGCAAGTGCAGGAACAGCTATTGATGAAATCTCACAAAATAGGGTTGTAAAATGTTCGAGAAGCGTAAACATAGTACGAGCTAATCGAGTGAACATAAAAAGTTGAAGAAAAGTAGGCAGGCATTGTACCTTGTTTTAGTGTATTTGTGTCAGCATTAGTTCTTTTCACTTCCTTTGGAATTTTATCTACATTTGGAACAACCACTCCATGATCAAAGATTTTATCGGAAACCTGCTGTTCGGGTGATGGCTCCTTGCTGCTGTTTCCTGCATCAGTCACGAAGGAAGTTACGGTTGGAAGGACTCAAGTTTCAGTAAGAATGACTTGTTCGATGTCCATAACAATGGCCAACTGCTAAGAAATGCAGATAGAACTCGCAAAGCTGATTGCATCAATGGAAAGGAACTGCTATGACAGGACTCCAAACATTAAAGTGGAAATCACATGATCACAACCTAAATCTAAACATTTTTCATGATTATGAATCTCTCACGAAAATTGGTGGTTGTAAGAAGTCACCTTACTTACTAATGTACTACTACAGATGATTTTATGCGAGAATTTAACTCAATGACATATATATTTACGATCCCTAACCGAAAGCTCAGCTACTTACTTTCACTGGAAGGCCTGCCATAGTTTTTCTCTAAAACTTCTGAAAAAGCACCATCCCTCTGATCTTGCATCACTGAAACACACCACAGTGTTTATTTCTTTAGACTTCCATTAAGTTGATGGAATTTTTCATACTTGTTAGAAGAAGAAGAACTTACATTTTTCGAAAAGACTGTTTCTGTAAGTCGGAGATGAGCCAACTAGAAACAGCTGAGTAGCCTCTGAATCCCTGGTTGTACACAACTTCATAGACACATTCAGGTTCTGCGTGTCTAATAGAATACCTGCAAGCTGACGTTTAAATGCTGCTAATAAGCACACAGATTTGAAAAAACGACATTATTTTTTTTTTTTTTTTTGTCAGGGAAATGTACAGATAACAAAAGATGCTTTGGATTTAGGGAAAACATGATTTCAACTACAAATTCATTAGAAAAGGATCAATTTTGCCCTACCAGGAGTTTCTTCAACATGGGGGTTTCGAGAAGATCATATGCATCCTCACAGTAGTTGTCTGTAAGAATAGTGCAGACAGATCCTACCTGTAAAAAATACCGAAAACAAAGGGAAAAGAACAAAAGGTTCAAATTGCATAGAGCACAGTCTTGGGCTAATTGCTTGTAAATTGGAATAATACAATGAGGTTTCAAACTTCAGATTTGATCAAATAAGTATATCAACCTCGCCATTTGTTTTGAGGATGTCTTGTCCAACTATAAGGATGCTCAACTTCCGGCTCATCATCAATGTTTCCAAATCAACCTGGCATGATTTCACACCATGATTAGTTCTCCATCTTTCTAACTAAATCTTCAGAATCAGAACTAAGAAACTGTCCGCACAAAAAAACTGCAAATTCTCTTAGAATTCTGCAAATTTGAACCTCAAACTTTGCTCCTTCCTAAATATAACTTTACGCGCCATTATTTTATCGAACTAAGTTTTGAGACACGAGGATGGATTCACCTCATCAGAGAAAAGCAATGCAGAAGCATCAATGCCAACATGATGAAAAAGCCAAGCAGCTTGTTTTTGTTTCCACATTTTCCCTCTCCTCATGTTAATTACAGGCACCACAATTTCTCCATCAACTCCTTCCTGATCTCTTTCCTCCATATTATTAGCCCTCATTCTATATTCCAACAGCCAAGCATAACTTATTGCTGCCACCATTGAACTTGTACCTATATTACAAAAAGGGTAGAAAGAATTCCTCTAATCAGCAATCAAATAAATTTAAAAAAAAAAAAAAATCAAACAAGCAAATCAAAACAAAAAGTCACTCAACTGTTTGAAGATCCAGAGAGAATAATCTTGGCTTTCTTATTACTCTCTCCACTCATGATTTCCTCCACTTTGTTCCTCTGGTCTTTCAGAAATCCATTCAGCTTTGAATTCTTTGATTCTTCGGAATGGTAATGCGCGATGAAGTTATCCCGAGGCAGGACTGTTCTGTTTCTATCCTGATTATGGGTGGCAGAGCTTGATGTTGATCTTCTATGTGACTCGAACAAATTCCGCGCAGGCAGATCATGGGGTCCTGAAATCGAATTTCTATGTGTCGACTGCGACAAATTCCTCGGCGGGGATAAGGACATGGCAGAGGAGTCCGGCACCGAGCAAGTGGAAGCTGAAATGGATCTCCTGTGAGCCGATTCATTTAGATGTTTTGGCGGGGAAAGCAATCGATTGTCCAAAATTGAGTGTGAGTTAGTAGCCGTTGCGTTTAAATTGGCGGGAGTTTTGAAAGTTCGTTTCTGGAAGGGTTCGTTTGTGTGAGGAATAAATGGCGGGATCAGGTTTGACTGTGGTGAATTTGCAGAATTGAGGAATCTCGATTTTCGAGGCGTCATTTGCCGGCTTGGCGGCAGAGGTGGAGATCCGAGGAGATGATTGTTGTTGTTGATTGGATTGGGCGGTGATGAAGTTTCTGGCGGGAGATTTGAATTATTGTGATGATGATGTGGTTTGAGGATGTTGGAGAACCATTTATGGACTGCTGATCCAGAGGATTCCTCCTCTTCAGGAGACAATGCATTCGATTGTGATTTATTCCGATTGTGTTGAGCTGATTTCGAGAGAATTTCCCCTCCAAATCCCTCCGGTTGTCTATGCCTGAATTCGATAGCATAATTAAAATAGTTCATTCAGAGTATATTGTGACAAAAAAAATTATATAAAAGTTCTTATCAAAACAAATTACAATCTGAATCTCGTTTTGAGTGTCAAGTTTTCTCTGATCCGTGAAAACAAATAAAGAAACTAATATTTCGATTTGTGAAAAGATAATGTCATATTCAATTTAACCACAGATATATTCGTGATGGACCCAAAAGAGAGTAAAATAATCTGTACTCTTCCGTCTCAAAATTATTGTTTTAATACATTTGTATGAAAAATAAAAAATTTAAACTGAACAATCACTTAGGGACGGAGGGAGTATCAATTCGTACCTTCTAGCTGATCTAGAGAGTGGATTTCTCTTATCAATTTTACCATTAGTTGATTGTTGTTGAACAGTTGCAAAACGTGGGGAGCCAACAAGTCTGGAAGGCGATTCGTTTCGGGTTGGAGATTGAGCAACCATTCTCTTAGCTTCCTCAAGCCATTCCTGTGTTGATCTGCTACTAACACTTCTCCGACTCGAATCGAAGCTGTCTCTATCGCTGTCGTCCCGATCACGATCATCTCCGGTCAAATTATACACCTTCTTATCTCCCGGCGCCACCCCGAAGAACATATCATTCATGAAATCTGTCAGGTCGGGAACGTTTTCGGTTTTCGGCCGCCGGCTCTCCACCAGCTGCTTTTGCAAACTCGCCGATGATCCTTTACCAGGTGGGTTCGGCGCATTTCGGGTTGATTTTCTCTCCATTGATCTTTCGAGTTTGTCTGAATATTTTGTACCTAGTTAGCTACCATGTTAAGCAAAATTAGCAGCTGAATAAAAGCGAATTCGAAAACTCTGTTCTTCCTGATTGGAAGGAAGAACAGGGGATGAGAAAATGATTGATAACTGATAAGAGATCGGATGATTCTCGCATTGTACAGCAATATCAAATTTGGCCGGCAATTTGTGATGTTTTTTTGTGTCTTTTTCTGTGTAATTACATGAATTGGCGCTGTTGACGAGGACGAATTCCAGGTAACACCAATCCGAAGTCGGCCGAGACTGCCAAATCTTTTGCGCGTTCATCTGATTCCTAATCATGGAAATTTGGTTTGGCCTTGGAGTTATCAAATGAGACAGTCAGAGACACATTTGAAATTAGAATTTATTCGGTTTAGACTAAGGTATATTTTTCATTTTTTTGTACATCAAATGACGGGTGAAGAAGATACACATACTAACAATATAAGTTGAGGCATAATAAGATTTTAGAAGTAGAAAAAAAAATTTGTCTTTATCATTTATGATCGAATTTTTTTGTATTTTATTTTTTTCTTCACATTTCATAATCCACTTTATTATTAAATAAACCAAACACAATACAATAAGGGTGATTTTGATCGTTATTCATCATATAAAGTTGGAATAAGTGAGTGCAACAACAGTTCGGAACCAACAACAAAGAATCACTGAGAACTGAACTCTTAACTCCAACAATATTGTTTTGATCGATAAGAGAGAGAGAGAGAGAGATAGAGAGAGAGAGAGAGAGAGAGAGAGATTTGTTTAAAATTGTAACGAAATCAAATTACCCACATTTCCCTATTTGGGCTTGGAGTCAATAGTCACCCGTTATAATGAGGTCAATTTAGATTGCAAGAAATGATTGTGTGTGTGCAAATCAGACTGACGCAATTAGTGTTAGTTAACAACAAATCAGCCCTCTTAGCGACAATAAATCAAGGTCAGCCCCATAGTAAAACAATCAGCCAAAGAAGAAAAATAAACTCATAGCCCAAAATAGACGATCATACAAATAGTAAGCCCAAGCAGTAGCCCAAAAAAATGTCAAAAAGGCAGTAAATTAACCATCAAACCAACACAAAACAGTAACTTGTCTCCAATAATTGTTTTTCAACATATTTACTTAACCAACAAACTCTAGTTCAAGTGGTAAGGTATTAGACCAGTTTAACTATGATCGTGGTTCAAATTCAGATATGGGCACAAAACAGTAATTAAAATACTTATTGAGAGAGTTTTCTAAAAACTTATCTGACTCGAATCTGAATTACTTGAAACAATGACCTTAGACACCAGATGCGTAATATACTTAAGAAAACAAAAAAAAAAAAAAACTTTAAGTTTGTAGTATGTATAATTTACATGTTCAATACGTACTTCTTTTAGCACCATGTATAATTTTTTTTTTCCTCTTAAAAATTTTCATTATTTGTATTTTTAAGTTCTCATATGACAATGTTAAAGTGAAAATCATTTGATTAACAAGTATTTGATTCAAGTGGTAAAAGTATTGATCCGCTTTAACTATGACCTAGATTTGAACATGTATATGAATATGCAGTAGTGATTAAAATATTTATTTCGAAAGTTTTGCTGTTTGAGAGGGACCTACATAGCTCGAATTTAGATTAATCATAATAATGATTTTGAACACCAAGTACATAATATATCCTAAAAATAAAAATAAAAATTGTTTCTACCGTTTTGCCATTTTATGTTTTCGATGTTAAGAATGTAAAAAAAGTGAATTGTAAACGTAAAAGAATATTCCTTGAAAATATATTAATAGAATTGAAAAAAAAAGAACCTATAAAAAAAATCAACCAACGACAAGATCTGAAATTTTGCTTTTTGATTGAGGAATCACACAACAATGCCATTCTCATACTGCATTGAGAGAGCCGGATTGTTGTTGTTGTTGTTTTTTTTTTTTTTTAAAAAAGAAAAATCTCTAAAGGCGGATTGTCCAGGTTCATGTATCCTCAATTTTAAGGATATTCTTTCCTTTGTGTCGCGATTATCTTTTCAACTTTATATTGATCCGGTGCATCAATAATCACATTGTTCATGCTACGTAGCGACTTATGGAAATTTTAGAGCTAGGTGACTTGGAGATATCCTTCTTTTCCAGACAATTATTATTTTTTTTTTTAAAAAAAGAAAACAATCGAAACGAAGGAAGCTTGGTAGAAATTTCTTCCGGGATAAAAATTTAAAGTTCGATATTTAATTTAATCTATTTGTTTATTTTGTTTTCAATGATGGATGACTTTTGATACATTTAGATTCATTTATTCTCATATGTTGCATGATAGAGAGAAGTCAACGTATACAGCTCAACAAGCATGCTTATCAGTTATCTTCCGTACATTCAGCCCCCTTTGGCCGTACTTATACATAATCAACGTTGACATTTGAAGCAAAAAGATTAGCTCCGTGACATTCGAACTGCTCACATGAGTTTTGTCTGCTTATATCTTGTTGAAATTTCTTCCCATCTCTCCTTCAGAGTTATGCTAAAGATATGGTAAAATACTTAATAAACTGTCGAGTCAAACGGGATGGTTAGAGCTTGACCAGTTAAGGGTTTAATTAGGCTAGTTACTGGCAATTTCTTATATCTTGTCCCAAGATCAATGATTATAAGGACCGATGAGTCAGCTGGAATTCATAGAAATTTTAATTTGGGAAATTCAAGAATTGGTAGGATGATATTAGATGATTGAAAGTATTTGTACAACGAAACGAATTGTGTGGCAAATTTAATGACATTCCTAATTGATGCTATTTGTTGGAAAAACTTGTAGTGTTCCGACGATCTACAATGTAGCTTTATAGTGTTTGAAACCATGATTATTTTGGGTATTCTACGCACAAAATGTATTAAATTATATTTTGTCTCCTTTGATAGCACCAATTTTTTTTTATGAAAAAGAAATCAAACAATTCATCATTAATGAAATTACATGATCAAGGAAAAAGTACAATAAAATAACAAAGTTACTAATGTGACGTGCTAACAAATACATATTTCTTATTCTCTTCCTATGTAGTAGGTAGTATTTGATATGGGGTTTGCGATTTTTCATTTCATTAGTTTATTACTCATTTTCTTATTTATTATTATTATTATTTTTTTTGAGAAAGTCATTTCATTAGTTTTATTACTCATTTTCTTATTTTTGTGTTTGTTATGTACACAAAGTCTTTGAGTTAATTTCTCGGTTTGAAACCTGTGATTGTGACTCTAATTGATTGATCTTTTCAGTAAATTACCCCAATAGAGTTTGCTCAAGTACTGCCCCGAGTAGTATATTCTAGAGAAAAGAATTGAAATGGAACTGAAATTGATTTTTTGTAACTTCATAATATTCCATTGCTTTCCTACCAATAATACATTTTGTTAAAGAAAAATAGATTATACTATAAAAATGAATTAAATGTACCTTAAATATTACTGTGACATCAGATATCGATGAACATATTTCAACGAAATGATTAAATTTACCTTAATTATTTCAGTAAATTGTCGTTTGATATTTGTTTATGTTGTGATTATGACAAGTTCAAGGGATCTGATTTTTTTCGTCGAACATATTGTTGTTTATGGTCAAAAGTGTAATACCTATATGCTAATTAAGTGACGCGGCCATCTTTCAGGTTTCAATATTGGTTGCCCTTTGAATCGTGTCAATCAAAAAGGCAAAATACAAACCATTGTCTCAAAGCTAGTGGTTAAAGGTCCCTTGTTCATTTTGTCTTTTAAATAAACTCTATCCGACCAAATTAAAAGACATTTTACTAAAAAGTTTTTTTTTTGGTACAGTAAAAAAGGCCAAAGCCTAGTTACAAGAGATTAAAATATTTCGAGGATAAGAAACTCCGACAATGTGACGGATTGTGGCAATCAACGAGATCTCCCGAAACTTCTAGATGCAAGCTCTGCTAAATAATCCGCTATAAAATTGACTTCCCAATAAATATGCTTCAATACTAAAAAGTATTTGATTCAAGTAATAAAAATATTGGATCAATTCATGTAACTAGCTATGTTTCGGATTAACTTGGATATGGGCATTGCCACAATGATTGAATAGTATTTTTTGCCGGAATTTTTTACCTTCCCAAAGGGACATACTCTTTTAAGTAAAAAAATCATAACATTACCACAGGTAAAAACTTGTTTTCAAGAGATAAGCTACGAATCACAATTAATAAACCTTCGTTATGGATGAACTGATTAGTATAGTTGGTGAATTATTTTTGTCAAAAAGAATAAATATCACCACCATCAAAAGTGATTGTTTACTTTCTATTACAAACATTTTGGGAGAAAGCTGTAGAAAAATGTGCAACTATCTTGAGACTGTTCATTTCATTTTCGTACCTGATTGATTTATTTATTTTTCGCCGAGAGAGCTATATACACCTAAGTTGCCGAGTGAGAAAATAACCTTTTCATTACTCATAAAGCTTACTTTGAAAAAACAAAATAAAAAATCTGAACCCATAAAAAACAAACGCAAGCCAACTTGGTTTTCCAGCCACATTAATTCTGTAAAAATAAAATAATCTTTCAACATCGACAATAAGTCAAATCCGCTAACGTTATAACCTTTGAATAAACTGAAAAGGTACGTTAATTCACACTTAAAAAAATGTTCAATGATCTAAGCATAATGCCATAAACGCATAACAGGCACATTAATTTTCGTTATAATCACTTTTATTTAAATTAATCTTGAATAAAAACCGTTGACTTGATCTCTTTGTGAACCCCTTAGATCTCTATATAAACCGAGCCTTAAGAACCCTTTAATTCATCATCTCTAGTTTCTTCAATTGGTGGTATCATTCCCTTCTAATTTATGATCTGAATAAATTTAATATATCATCAAGAATCTATTGATCAATATATGGCTATGGGGGTCGATGGTTTTATGGTTTCAACAATTGTTCTTTCTTACTTAGCCACTACTTGTTATGGAGTAAGCTTTTCATCTCTTCCAAAAACTCTTCTTGTCACTGCCTCTCCTTCATCAGGCCAAGGTATGTAACTTACGTCTTGATAATCTCCTAATTCGATACGTTTTGTTTTAATATCAGAAACATGACTATTATTTGTGACGTTAAATTTAGCCGTTCGGCAATATTTTTAGCTCCATTTCCCTTCAATCACAAAGCTATTCCGGCAGTTTGCATTTTTCAAATCATATTACGAGAAACTCGGTTGGGTTGGATCGGCCTAATTTTTATTTACTGAAATCACTGTACCAAGTAAGATTTGTGTGATAGATTAATTTTCGTTTTCATTATTATTTATGTAGTTTTGAAAGCTGGGGAAGACAAAATCACGGTGTCATGGTCATACAACAACACATTCCCTGCCGGGACGGATTCACCATACAAGAAAGTTACGGTGAAGCTTTGTTACGCTCCGGTAAGCCAAGTTGACCGGGCATGGAGGAAGACGGTGGACAATTTGGAGAAGGACAAAACCTGCCAATTCAAGATTGTTGCGAAGCCATATAATCCTTCTAATAACACGTTCACATGGACTGTGGAAAGAAGTATTCCAAGTGCTACTTATTTTGTGAGGGCTTATGCCTTTAATTCTGCTGACGAACAAGTTGGTTTTGGCCAAACAACTAATGCCAAAAAGGACACCAACTTGTTCCAAGTTCAAGCAATTACCGGCCGCCATGTGTCGCTTGATATCGCCGCCATCTGTTTCTCGGGATTCTCTGTGGTGTCCTTGTTCGGATTCTTTGTCATGGAGAAGCGAAAGGCCAAGGCATACCAGCAAAAGTAAATGCGAATATTCACACATAAGGGCTTCTTCACTTTAGGATGGATTTGAAGTTTTCTCTTCTTTCTATCTTTTTTCTTTTTTTTTTTTCTTGCTTTTTCTAAACATAGACGGTCTACTATTTGAAGATTTTTATATATATGTACTGTCTAATTATGGGTCATTTCAATCTTCCATTGTTCAGATGTGTTCAGTTTGATCACTTTGGTACAAAGTGGGATCGTTATACATATTGTGGCGACAGATCAATTTTCAATATTGTCTCTAAAATACATACATAAAATCCAACATATCCACTCTGAGCTTAAGAGACAGTTAAGTGCTTGATGTCCCAAATAGGAGCGGAGCCAACCCCCCTACATATGATGGGGTAAAATTTTTCTAATTTCTAATCTAACATACTTGTTCCTAATATTTTCAATTCAGTTGGGGCGAAAATTGATTTTTTAAAAGAAAATTCTAAAATTTCAAAAGGTTAATAGCCAAAAAAAAAAAAATAATAATTCAGCTGGGGACAATTGCCCCACTTCCTTTGTATGTAGCTCCGCCCCTAGTCCCAAAGAGGCCGATCCAAATTGTGGATAAATACATTTTATTGGAATTAGGAAGGAGCAGGGCATAAAATCCAGATTGTGGATAAAGACATTTTATCGGAATTATGGAGGAGCAAAGCAAAAAACCGTACGGCTCCACACTATTCAAATGATTAATGATTGAAACTTACGAACAATTTCATTAGATTATCTTGTGATAATCAACAAACTTAGCATCCTTTATGGATATATACATAGTCTCAAATGACAAATCTGATGAGATGATTCATGATTCAGTAAATAAATTGAGAACCTTTGAATTTCTTGCGGACCTCAAGGGTATGAAGTTACATCATTGCTTCGGTGACCAAGGTACTCAAGATAAATCGGGCTTTGAATTCTTCTTTCTCTTTTCTTGTTTTTTTTTTTTCATCTTCAGCATCAAGCCCCATTCTCATGGGGTCCAATAACTTTCAAGGCATAGAAACCATTATAATTATTTTTTTTTTGTCTTTAAATGATTTCCCAATAATTTTGATTTTCAATTTTAGTACCAATTGCACTATTAAAAATAAAAATCCAAATTCAAACTATGCTATTGAGGCAGAGAAAATGTATGGAGTTTTAGATCTCCAATTGGAGAGCCTTCATGATTAATTGCTCAAATAGTTAACTCATCGTTCATAAAGGAGAAACTCAAATACATACCCCTCACAGAATTACGAAGATTTATTTATTGTCTAACTACCTATGAAAACTCCAATCCTCCTAAAACAAGTTTATACATAGCTGATCTGAAACCTAATAAGACCAAGGAACAATTGAGAAACTCCATCTGCCCAGTGATTAATTATAAAATCAATGTTGTTCCACTTATCAGGGTGCATGTGATTCAGTAGAGGGAACTGTTATCGTGGTAGAGCTTTTGACTCAATAAAATACAAATAAAGTTGACTACTGATTCAATTACATATACCGATATAAGGAATCACTTTTTATTTGTCACACGTTGATTGATGCGAGAGGCCAGAACAGAGGGAGAAGTCAGCGTATACAGCTCAACAAGCATATGCTTATTAGTTATCTTTCCGTACATCCATCCCCCCTTCGTCCGTACTTATAAAATAATCAATGTTGACATTATAAGCACACAAAGATAAGCTCTTTGAGCTGTACTTTCCAACTACTCACATGAATTTGTAGTCTCTCACGCTATTCAAAGTCAGACTTAATTAGGATTCGATTTGATGAGTATCGTAAACTTCAAATTTTGTTCAGGAATACAAAATGTAAGATGTCATCATTTCTTTGTAATTTTTTAATATTTACAATCCGTCTTATATTGATAAGTCATTTTTGTTGAACCAGAATATTTAAGCAAAAAAGAGTTAATTATAATGTACTACAGATTAGGTGATCAATTTGCCCTCTCGTTTCCTGGTATTTTAATTTTAACCTTGCTGTGAAAAGTAATTGTGACATCACTAGTCACTGTCCTTGACTCTACGTAATGGTGGCTGAAGAATACAGTATAGTTAATATGAATCAAAGAGCCCAAAATAAATCGAACTTCAAATCTGGTCAAAAAGTAATTTAGTTATGTATACATTAAGAAATATAGAAGCTCTACCATTTATTCAATAATTGCCAAGAGAGACCAATGCAAATTAAATAAACAAGTTTCGCAACACTAAATTCTACATAACTCTAAAAGAGAAATGATACCCTCTTCCTCGCACTTTCATAGTCCACTTGATCTAAAAAAGCACAATAGAGTGGATTACGGGAAAGATTGGCAGGAGTGATAGGATCAACACATATTTGTTCAGGCTTTGACCCTTCCACCTGACAAAAACATCCAAGTTCTTAACATTGCAATCAAAGAAGCGTTTTGCATTATCAAAAGAGTACTTCAACTCCACCATTCCATTTGCGTTTTTCCTGAACGGTTCTCAACTTTAACCATATGAATGTTTCTCCAAGATTCAGTTCTAAAGTTTAACCTTGCCATCGAAGAAGCGGTTTGCATTACCAAAGAAGGGGCCTTTTCCACATACCTCGAGTCCTCATGTACAAACTGAAAAGTTATGAAGAAATTAGGCTCATGAGGATCATCAACAAAGGACAAAGTGTGTAATTGAGGAGCCATCCAAAGTATACTCTCTAACATATCCACATCGAGCGGTATATACTTGCCCATAGCACACTTAATATGTCGACCTATAGTCAAGTGCTTGATGTTCCAGAGGCGTGGATCCTGATCATAAGACATAAATTCTTCTGGAATTATGAAGTCGTAAGGCTCAAAATTCTACAAATTCACCATCTCCAAATGATTGGTATTTTTAAGGAAGGCCACAAGTTCATCACAACTTATTTCGCGGTCATCGCGACTGACAAAGCTTGCATCCTATTAATACATAATTAATTTTATGGTTTTGGAAAGATTAGATAATTTGTGTTTTCTTAAATAATTTTTATGTCATTCCACAAAAATATTTGCGACGGAAAATGGATTAACGTGGTGCTGGGATATGTGATTTGTTCTTGAAATTAGTTTTGCTTTAGTATAGATACGCCTTATACAAAAAAAAGGGGGAAAAAAAAGAAAAGAAAAGAAAAGAAATAAAGTCTTTAGCAAAATGGGGGCAGTTGGGTAGGAGGGTAGAGTAGGCAAATAAAAAAAAAAAAAAACTAGGTCTCCGACACTATAGAATTGAAATATTCCAACCATTGCTGAAAATTTGTTTGTAGTATAAATCATGAATTGCGATTTAGATTTTTTTATTTATTTATTTTTTTGGGAAAGGAGGGAGGGGGTATTTTTTTCCTCCCACGGTCTCTAGCATTGTGTCCTTTTAAAATGCTCAAAACAGCACTGTTCAGGCGCCGGGATGATGCTATTGTCAGCTGATTGTCCAGGTTTAAAGTTCAAGATTTTTTTGTCTGGCTTTTTATTTTTTTTATAACTTTTAAATTTCTCTTTAGAGTAATTCCAATTGACTTATCAATTATTGTAGCATGTCCACTACCTGACTTCTCCAATTTATCTATAACATCACTCGGTTCTCTTCATCTTTCTTTTGTTTCCGAACGGGCGAAGCGGCCCCAGACAATAGGATAAACCGCTTGCGAATTTCCAGTTTGTACATATAGAATAGTGTTTACTCGATAATTGCCAAGAAAGATAAATGCAAATCAATAAAAAACAATTTTCTCAATGATGAAATCCTACATAACCTTGGATGATAATAAATTATAAAAGTACTCGAAGAACTTAACTAAAACCTATGCTAGGAATAATGAAAAGATCGTTGACAAAACATGAATGATAACATCACCGCTTATTTCTTCAGCCTCACCAAAACATCCAATTTGTTGCCATAAAAAAAAAAGCGTCAGAATCGCTACCAAAAAAAGTACTTCAAGTCTTCAACTGCAATAGTGATTCCCAGATAGACATGGCCGCCTCATTTTCCACATTCATCGAATCCGCTTAAACAAATTGAAAAGTTGTGGTGGAATCAAAATTATCAATAATGGATAGAGTGCGTAACTGAGGGGCCATCCATTGTATACTCTCTAACATATCCTCACTGAGCGAGAGGTACTTCTCATCGGTACATGATTTATAAAGTCGACCGATAGTCAAGTGGTTGGTGCCCAAAAGAGGCGGATTCTCATTGTAAGACATACGATTTTCTTTTGGAATTATGAAGCTGCTTGGCTCAAAATTGTACAGTGATAGGTCTTGAAATTTCATGTTATTTATGGGTATTTGTATAGCATTTTGGATTAGATTGTGCACTTATGTTGTGTATTTTGATGTTTTTGGTTCTTAGGAGTGATTGGAGCTGAGATTGAGAAAAATGTTTCATAAACACACATTTTTGGAGCATTTTGACAAGGAAGCACAAAAAGAGAGCAATGACATCACATTTTCGTGTGGGCACACGAATCTCAGTCCAAAATTGAGTTTTAGGGAAGAAATTCCAGCATTGATGCTGTATTCCCGTTTGACCAAACTGAAGCAGGGACTAAAATAAAAAATTAAAAAAGTTTTAGGGTCAAAATATAATTTTACCAAACTTGAGGGACCAATTTACAAATCTCGGGAAAACTAATTTCCTGCTGCGGCTGACCTACTTGTTCCCCATATAAATTGATTTTATTCTTTCTTTTGGGGAGGGGCTGAACGTGAGAAGAAGAAGAGGAGACTGGAGTGGTCCTAAGCCGCCTATCTAGCCCTTTTGGGCGTTATTCTTCCCCATTCTCCATAGTTTTGTTTCAGTAAGCTTTATTATGTGTAATTAAATTATTTTTCTAGTTAAAAGATATTGAAGCCTTGGTTTGAATAGTTGTGAGATCTAAATGTTGTTTCTCTCTCAATTTCTTGTGAGTATTTGCTTGTTCTATTGCATGATTGATATGATTATTGTGGATTCATGAATAGCTGGTAGCATTCATTATTTCATGTTAGTTAACAACCAATAAGGCATCAAGGTTTGTTGTTTTAAAAGGGACTGATATAATTAAATTATGATATGCTTATATTTTACCTATTTATTATATCCCTAATTTGTGATTTTTGCAATATATTTGAGTACAAATATGCTATTTATGTGATTTTATCTTTAATTGTAGGAATTGGACTCAAATGAAGAATTGTTGAAGTTTTGAGCTAAAATCGAATTAAAAGCAACTCAATGGGAAAGAATTGAACATTGGAGCAATTGATGGGGAAGAAATTAATGAGTTTAGAGAATTGGAGGGCCAATCATGCAATTTTGCAATTTGATTCTAATTTTTGGAAAATTGGCCGAAGGTTACGTTGATGATACGGCTGATTTCGGATTGGAATTGGATAAGAATTTTAATCCCGATATTAATTGGG